AGTATGGGAACAGGGGGAAACTGACTTGGTTAAGTGCTGAAGCTATGAAATACCGAATTTACCCCTTCTCCTCCAGATCTAACCCATCCATTGTTATGATGCTATCCCACCTAACCCCTAAATTTTCTTCCTCATACTCCCTCCCGCCTGTGCGAGAGCTTCTCTGAAACCCTCGCCCTTCTCCCAGCTGCCACAAAAGGTAAAAACCACAAATCTTTCACTTCGATTTAGGCTTCTTTTCTCCGATGATTTTTTGAAGTCGTTGCCGATCTGATGGTTTTCGGCATCCTACTACTTTTTTATACGGCGAATTCGTTGATTGTGTTTTTATTTAGGAGTTCTCTGGTTGATGGTCTCGGTTCATGGTAGATCTGCCCAGGGTTATGCGTGGAGTATATTATAATTCTTCTCGGATTTATTTTTATTATATGTTCTCCGATTATATTGGATTCTGTGATTGACCTTTTTTTGTGTGAGTGTGCTGCCCCTTTTCTTCTGTTATTTCGTATATGCTGTGCTGGTTCACGCGATCTATGTCGGAAAAGATGCCCCTTTTTGTTATCTGGCGAAACTTTCATCAGCGGCTAGAGCTTATATCGGAAGTTAGTGTTGGATCTGATTTTGTTGGTAGAAGATACCAAGATTTTACCTTTGATACAGATCCAGACTAAAGAGTGGAGAATCAAACAAGGATATCTCAAAGGGATTTCAGTTGGATAGACTTTTGGCTAAAAGTTAAGGATTACGGCATGTCTATGTTCTTCCAATGATCTCCCTGATTGTTAGCATTAAGGTTCGCGGCATAGTATGTGTTATATCGTTTGATGATCCTGACGAGTATTTGAGTTCTTTAGGTGAGCTTGTTTGCCAAGTTGGCGACTTTGTGATTTTTTGGTAGCTCGATTTTGAGAATCAAGTAAGGTTTTTCTACTTGGCAACTTGATGAGGTCCGAAATTGGGTGGCTCATGATTAATTACTTACTTAACTCGGTACAAGCTCTTGTGGTCACATGATAAACTCAGCCTACTCAAATATGGTTGTACGGTTGAAACATTAATGTTTAACATCATTTAAGAACTTGTCCGATTAAACTTGTTTGATAACTTAATAACGGGTCAACCTGATTTCAATCACAAGTTTATATTTTATACCGTTGGTTGGTTTTGGAATAGTTTTGAATGCTTCCAAGTAAACCTTTGGATAAAATAGCTTCACTATTGTATTGTATGAGCAAAGGGGCAAGGCTATTAATTTTTCTTAGGGATTGGATCATAAGATAGGCTCTATGTTTTGCCATTTTCATGGCCAAGGGTTTTTAGTCAGACTCCAAAGAATGCTTAATTTATATATTTCTGTAAAAAGCTTGATGATTTGTGGTATAAGCAGGTTCATCATAAACTATGGCTGAAGCTGAGGATATTCAGCCCCTTGTTGTTGATAATGGCACGGGCATGGTGAAGGTGTGTGCTTTCTTTCACACTTCAACGACCTTCTTTCAATCTAATTTTCATGTTTGAAGCTTTGATAATCAGGATAACAATTTTATGTTAAAAAAATTATCTTTTTTCTTTCTTGCAAATAGGCTGGGTTTGCCGGAGATGATGCTCCCAGGGCTGTCTTCCCAAGTATCGTTGGTCGACCACGGCATACCGGTGTCATGGTGGGAATGGGTCAAAAGGATGCCTATGTTGGGGATGAGGCGCAGTCGAAAAGGGGTATTTTAACGCTAAAGTATCCCATTGAACATGGTATTGTCAGCAATTGGGACGACATGGAGAAAATTTGGCACCATACCTTCTACAACGAGCTTCGTGTTGCCCCGGAAGAACATCCAGTTCTTCTCACAGAAGCCCCTCTTAACCCTAAGGCTAACAGAGAGAAGATGACCCAAATTATGTTTGAAACCTTTAATGTTCCAGCCATGTATGTTGCCATTCAGGCCGTGCTTTCTCTTTATGCTAGTGGTCGAACAACAGGTAATATGCTCTATCACCAAATTTGCACAGAACATATAAGTAGAGTAGTCCATTTGAAGGGGCATTTACCACACTCATTTCATATGTATTTACATATTTCACACCCAAAATTTAGGGTTTAGGGTTATACCACCCAAATCATTCATATCACATGAAAAATACCACCTTTTTAACTTTTAAAAAAGTGAA